TGTGGGCCTCGGGGGCCATCCTGAAGCTATCTTGGACCGTCGTGGGGCTACCCTTCGGTCGGGCATGTCCCCCTACAGGCGGACTTTGGACGAAAGATGGAAAACATGCCCAAACATGCAAGAGTAGCTAACACAACAAGAAGACTCCAACATCGTCCTCAGACTGTTTTTTTTTGCTATCTTGAAATAGATTCTCCCTGTAGAGGGACGCGCCCGACTTGAGGCTACCCGTGGCTGTCATGACGTTCTCCTCGACTGTCTCGGCGCTCCGTCCGGCCGGGGTCGGCGGATCGCCCCCGCCCACTTGGAGCGACGTCGGGCCCCTCTCTCCCAAGCCTGGAGGCAGGCGGGGGCCCCCCCAGAAGTCGAGCTGCTAGCGACTCGGGGGTGGACATAACCCCCAACAGTGACACGTCGATTAGCGAATTGTCCGTTCTCGGTTCTCGAGAGGGCGCCGTGGCCGTTATCTTCCAGGCTTGCGCCCGCCAGGTTTGGGCCTCAGGTCGTTTTCACTAAACCACGTTTTACTACAGGGGGGTCTGTCCATCCCCGAGCGACGGGGCTCAATGCGACCGGGGGCCAGTCGGAGCGCCAGGTCTCGCGGGATCCTGCACAGCCACGGGGTGGCCTGGCCTGGGCGTGGGTGCAGGATCCTGCAGGGTCCTGCAGGGTCCTGCAGAGTCTGGCTGACCCGGGTCTGGATTGACCCGTGTCAGTAGATCCCTGAGTAGCCGCGGCCTCTGCCCGATCCAGAGGCGCTGGCGGGGGCTTAGCCGCCGCCAGCTCGGGCCACGCGCCCCATGGGATTCCGTCGGTGAGCAGCAGAGGCCCCACGAGCTGGTACCGCGGCCCAGAGACCCTGGTATCCTGTGCGGGCGGTCGTCGCAGCCCTGCATGTGCGTGCACATCCTGCTCCACCTGCAGGCTGCGGGCTTCGACCTGGTCCCCCGCCTGATCGGCTGCCGCGGCTGCAACATGCGGCGCACCGCCACCGCCACGGGCGCCAAAGTCAGGATCCGGGGGGTCGGCAGCGGCTTCCTGGAGGGGAAGCACCCCCGACCCCGCTGTTGGTGATCATCGCCACGCGGCGCGAGGAAGTGCATGGTTTCGGTAGGGCAGTAGAGATGACGCTCCCAGCGTTGCACGGCATGCATGAGTTTTTCGACCGCCATCGGGCGACGCAAAGGGGCCCTTCCGCCAGCATCGAGGGGCCGGCGAGGGACTTCCTTGCCGACGCGCTCCAGGAGGCCCCCTGGGGTGGCGACTGCTTGTCGAGAGGGGCGCAGCGCCAGACGCGAGGCGCGGCCCGAGGCGGCGCCCTGGGGTGCCGAGGGCGCCTCGGGCCACTCCCTCCGCCATATCCAGGCGGCCAGGGCCACCTGCGGGGCCAGCCGTGGCCGCGCTGCTCCTCCCGACTCCCACCCCTACATGGCGCACGCGATCTTCGAGAACAGAAGAACCCCAACCCCAATGGCACGGTGAAGGCGCGGCCTCACTCAGGTCCCCGTCTTTGCCTCAGGGATAACACATCTGCAGAGCAGACTGCCATTCCTGATGTTGTGGGTCCTCCCAACTCAGGTCCCCTCCCAAAGGGTTAGGGATAATTACCTCCCTTGCCTGTCACTCGAGCTGCAGTCCCAGTGATCTTCTGAATTGGTCGCGCGGGCTCGGGCCTCGCAGCAGTGGCACAAGCGGTGCCGATCAGCGCCACGCTGGCCGGTGCCCGCGGAGCTGGAGTTCATGGGCAATGATAGGGGGGATGGTCATAGGGGGGATGCATCGACCCCCAATCGCCCATGGATCGCCGATAGGGGTCTGGTAGCCCCAACCCGCCCGGGAAGGTGCGGATTCACTGTCGGGAGCATATCGCCGATCTATCGGCGATGTATCGCCGATTCCAGGTCGATGCAGTCCCCCCCTATAGTTGCCCCTCAGGAGTACAGCTTCGACGACTCGCTGCTCACATCGCTCCCCAGCGCCATCCAGAAGGCCTGGGAGCCAGAAAGGCACCACCACCGCCTGGGGCCGGCGACTTGGATCCGCCACGCGGTGCGAGTCGGAGGAGGAGCAATTGGGAGGAGGAGGAGGAGGATATGAAGAGGAGGAAGAGAAGGGGGACCTCGGTGGAGGGGGAGAAGAGGTTTGAAGGAGGGGAAGAATGGAGGAGGAGGAGAAGAAGGGCATGACGAGGAGGGGATACGAAGAGCATCTGCAGGAGGGGACGGGGGACCTTCGCACCACGTGGCGAGATCCCTCTGCCTGTGGGGGGTGCGGGCATGGGCGGGCGGTGTGCGGGAGGCGGCGGGCGTGCCCAGGGTGCCCCGCGAGAGCGCCCGAGGACCGCCCCTGGCCCCCTCCTGGCGTCAAGTCGGGCATGTCCCTCTACAGGAGGAGTCTTCGAAGATAGTAAAGACATAGTCCGGGGACGATTCTTCGACTACCTCGGACTATTTTTCAATCTTTGTTGGAGTGCTCTTCCATTTTCGCCCACGCCCCTCCAGCAGGAGGGCATGCCCGACCTAAGCCCAGGGTGCCCCGCGAGAGCGCCCGAGGAGGTGCTGGCACCGCCACCGCCCCTGGCCCCCCTGGGCGCCGCGCGCACGGGTCGTGGTGCGAGGGGGTCGGCCGTCTGAGGTCCGCCGCAACAGCGCATGCGCTGGGGGCCCATGCCAAGAGACGCCCCGCCTGCCTCCAGGGTGCCCCGGGTTTCTTGGGCTCCGAGGGTTCTGCCAAGGAGAGCGCGGAGTTCCCGCGCCCCGAACTCGGTGGACGTCTTGGGGTCTTACGAGAAGGCGCGAGGGCGGGTGGGGGGGCTTCTGAGAAGCTTCCTGGGCCTTCGGGCGGGCCCCTCCGAGGCCCCACCCCCCCCCGCCGTCCGACCGAGAAGCTCCTCGCCCTCTCGGAGACGGCTGCCCCTCTCCGCCCCCGCCCCCGATGGCGCGCCGCCGGCTCCCGCTCCTCCACTTTCGGCGACTACAAAGGGTAGCAGCCATGCGCAGAGGGGGGTGGGGGGAGGTGGGAGGGCTTCTTGGAAGCACCCCTGCTTCTTAGAAGGCGCGGGCCTTATCTATAGATGTAAGGCCGGCGCCTTCTAAGAAGCAGCCTCCTTCTAAGAAGCCCTCCCCCCTCCCTCAACCCCTTTGTGCGCGCCGCCGAGGGTATGCTTACGCCGGGGTGCGGTTTGCGATCGGCACCATTGGGCATGGGAAGCACGACGCTGTCCTCGTCGGGCCTCCTCGGGGCGCGGCGGAGAGCTCTATAGAGGTCCCCGCCCGCCCCCCCCCAGGGTGCCCCCCAGGGTGCCAGTTGCAAACCACACACTTCGGAGTCACCGACATCCATCGGCCATGAGCGAGGGGGGGAAATGAGAAGGAGAAGGTCTTCTCAGAAGGTGGCGGCACTTCTCAGAATCCCTCCGGCCTTCTGAGAAGTTTGCTGTGTCGTCGGGGAAGGCTCAGAACACTTCGCAGAAGGCCTGGGGACTTCCGAGCCTTCTGAGAAGGCCCGCCCCTTCTCACTTCCCCCCCCCTCGCTCGCTACCGAATCCATGTGGCGGTGCTGGTGCGTCTCTTTTCCCTCGAGATCGAAGAAGAAGCGCCATAAACATACACTTTTGGCGTTCCGCGCGGATTTCTTGGCTCCGCGGTGGTCCCCCGGCGGCGCCTCCGGCGGCGCCCCTGGCGCGCTCCGCGCGACCGAAGGTTTCCAAAGGGTCTTTTGGGGAGGGGGTTTTCCAGGAGGGGTCCCCCAGGGGCTTCGCACCCTCTGTTTTGACAAGGTTCCGAGGCCACTGGGGGGCTCTCTGGAAAACCCCCTCCCCCAAGGCCCCCTTTTGGAACCCTCCAGAGGAAGGGGGGTCCAGCGTGGATCCCAGAAATCCGCGCAGAGCGCCAAAAGTGAATGTTTATGCAGATGTTTTTTCCTCTACGAAAGGCTCCCGACGCCCGCGGCGGCTTCGACACCCTGTGCCTGACGCAGGCACCCGGGGGAGGGCCGTCCTGGGCGGAGGGGGATGAGGGCGACCTTCTCTCCTCCTCTTCCTCCTCCTGCATTCCTCTTCCTTGCAAATAATTTCTCCCTGTCGCACCCCGATGCCAGTTTGTTAGGGCGGGCCAGGCTTTTCGCCTGAGATTTCACCATTTTTGACCTTGAAGCTTATAAGCCTTGGCAATAGCTTCACAGATGGAGAGCGGGCCGTTTTCAAAATGTGGCTTTCGCATCAGCGCCGCGCACACTTGTTCTAAACATTTGCAAGATCTTCACGGATCGAGGGCGGGCCGTTTTCAAAAATGTGCCTCTCGCCGTAGCACCGCGTACATTCGTTTCTAAGCATTGCAAGATTTTCACCGATTGAGGGCGGCTCCTTCCCAAAATATGGTGTGGTTCTCGCCTTAGCGCCGCGCATAGTTGTTTTGAACTTTTGCAAGAATTTCACGGGTTCCCATGATCAGCGTACCAGAAGTGGTGTTGTGGAAGAATTAAGGATTGTGATGGTGCAACAGTTACGTTGATTTGCGGTGTTGAAGTCCGCGGAATGGCGTTCTGGCAATATTCCGGATCGCCAAGGCGAAACAGTGAGGTTGATCCGTGGCGTTGGACTCCGGAGAACAATGTTTCGGCAGGTTTCAGGATCTTCAAACAGTTATCTTCCAACGAGGCAGTTCCCTCAGTGGAAATGAACCCTTGTAGGGGCCTATAAAGAGGGAGCTTGGAGGGAGGGTGTATTCCAACATCGCTGATGACTCTTGGGTTTACACTGGTCCTCCTCCTCCTCCTCCTCTCCTTCTCCTCTCCTTTTTGGCACCTTCCCTCCCCCTCAACCTTTGAACGTCTTCGAATCTGGGGGAAGGGGGATGAGAGAATGAGCTTTCAGCTGGCAGGTGCAGGCTGCTGATCATACTACCGATGAAGCTCATGTACACGATGCTGGCCAGTATGATGATGAACATGTCGATGCTGATGATAACGATGACGGTGACGATGCCGCCGCCGCCGCCGTTTCCGTCACCGCCGCCGATGGTGATGTTGGTGCTGGTGTTGTTGTTGTTGTTGCTACTGCTGATAATGCTGATGATGCTGATGATGAGGATGATGAGAAATGATGCTGTCGATGATGATGGTGATGATGATAATGATGATGCTGATTTTGATGTTCATGCTGATGGTGATGACGACTATGATGGTGTTGGTGCTGATGGTGATGATGATGATGATGATGATGGTGATGATGATGGTGATGGTGATGGTGATGGTGATGGTGGTGATGCTGCTGATGATTATCAGGATGATGATACTCATATGACGAGACTGCTGAGTTTGATGATGAGGATGATTATTGATGACAATGATGCTGATACTGATGATGATGCTGATGATGCTGCTGCTGATGATGCTGCTGCTGTTGATGATGATGATGCTGATGATGACGATGGTGATGATGCTGCTGATGATGATGATGCTGATGCTGCTGCTGCTGATACTGGTGATGACGGTGACCATGATGATGATGCTGATGATGATGGTGGTGGTGATGATGATGACGATGACGATGACGATGCCGATGATAATGACAATGATGATGATGATGATGATGATGATGATGATGATGATGATGATGATGATGATGATGATGTTGCTGCTGCTGCTGATGATGATGATGATGATGGTGGTGATGATGATGATGGGGATACTGATGATGATGATGCTGATGGTGATGATGGTGATGCTGATGATGATGATGATGACGACGTCGACGATGATGATGATGCTGGTGATGATGATGCTGATGATGATGGCGGTGGCAGTTGTGATGGTGATGGTAATGACTGCATTGAAGGTGAGGAGGAGTAAGATGATGAGACGGATGAGGAGGAGGAGGAGGAAGCCCTCGCTCAGCGTCCTCGCCCTCCCCATCCTTCTTTCCCTGCTCTCCTCCCCCTTCGCGAGAGGCGAGTGGCACAACATCCTCGCGGACGCCGTACGTAAGACAAGCAGGAGAGAGATAGCCTGCGCGCGGCGGGAGGGTCCTTAGCGGCGAGGGGATGTGGCATTGAGGGAATACATCCCTTAGAGACGACCTCACCCCCGCCACGCGGACCGCCGCTCGGGAGGGTAGCGAGCCGACCATGCCTCGCGGATCTCATCGCGTCGGCCAGGCAGCCAGCGCAGGCGGTGCACGGGTGAGGCGTTTCCCCATCCCCCAGTCTCTCCTCCTCGGTCTCGCCTCATCCCGCCCTCCCCTTCCTCGCTGCCCGGGTGGCCTCCCCGGACGGTCTGGAGAGCCACCCCAGCCGCCCTGGAGGCCGAGGGGGCCGACACGGGAGGCGGCCGAGGCGCCGGAGGAGACCTGGGAGGAGGGGCGACGTGCGCGAGTCTGAGTCCCCGCCAGGCCCAGACAGCCGAGGTCTCTTGTTGTTATCCTTCGCAGCCTTGGCATCCGACGGTCTTTTGCTTTGGTAGCAAACCATGTGAGCCTTGTATACCCTCGCAATTCCGCGTTTAGCGTCGATTAGCGTCCATGAAGCGTCTGGGTGTCGACGAGATAGCGCCGACGAGCGTCGATTTAGCGTCTACTTAGCGTCTACTTAGCGTCGACCTAGCGTCGATTGGCGTCGACTCGCAAGAGCCGACAATATGATACGGTTAAGTCGGGCCTGTCCCTCTGCAGGAGGAATATTCAAAAATAGTAAAGGATAGTGTATGGGGACGATGTTTGACTATGTTTGACTATTTAGGTAATTTTGTTTGACTAATTCTTAATTTTGTCGTCCAGAATCCCCCCAAAAGGACATGCCCGACCTACTGGTACGGGAGGCTCCCACGAGTTGCCACGGAAATTCGCCTCGATCGCGGCGTCTTTCCTTCACGTCGTTGTCTCGGGGCCGCCGTCGGGCCCCAGGGCAGCGAGGCGTGGATGCTCTATCGGAAGGAGGGGTTCGGGACCTCCTGGGGCCGTGCGTTGAAAGCACGCCACCTGGAGGGTTTCTCCGACAGGCTTAGGCGACCTGTCCTCCTCCTCCTCCTCCTCCTCCTCCTCCTCCTCCTCCTCCTCCTCCCTCCTTCTCCTCTTCGTCCTCCTCCCTTTCCTCTTCTTCCTCATCCTCCTCCTCCATCTCCGCCTCCTCCTCCCCCATCCTCCTCTTCCTCCTCCTCCTCTTCCTCCTCGGATCGCCTACGGCCCCGGGAGACACCGTGCAATTGCACCGTCGGACGTTCGGAGACGCGGATTCCAGGCACCCGCTCGCTCTTCCTCCATAGCCTCGTGGACGGGCAAGTTCCCTGCGAGGCTGCATCTTGCCATAGCGTGGTCCGTCGTGATGTTTTGCCACGCCGCGCAGGATCAGGGGACGAGTGAGGGAGGGGGGGGGGGCTCAGAAAACTGATCGTGTCCCTCCCCCCGCCTTCGGGGGTGCGCCCTCCCGCCAGCAGCAGGTGAAGGAGCTGTTCGAGAAAGCCATCGCGGAGCTCGCTGCCACACTCGCGGCGGGCGAGCCGGCCAAGGCATCCTTTCTCTTGCCTCCAAACTTCATCCTCGTTTTTTTTTCCTCGCGTTCTGTCGTCATCCTCTTCGTCCTCGTCGTCTGCCTTCTTCTCGTCTTCGTCGTCCGCCTCCTCGTCCTCGTCGCCCTCCTCGTCCTCATCGTCCTCCTCTCCCTCATCCTCGTCGCCCCCTCTGTCTTGCACGCGCGTGTGTGGCCGCCGCGACACGTAGGTGCCCTGTAGGTTCTTGGGCCACGTGCACTGTGGCGCCCAAAGACACTTCGGGACACACCTCGGCGCGGCCGTGGATGACCACGCCGTCCGCCTGGACGGAGCTGCGGTCCTCCCTGTACAGTGCTGCCGCCGGGTGCGTGCCAGACGTGCAGACGACCGCCCTCGAGCATCGGTGCGCCTCGCAGCAGAGGAGCCTCAGACTGGCTCCCCGGGTGGCGAAGTCCGGCCCCGACGCTTCCTCCTCACCCCCCTCTCCCCCGTGGCGAAGTGCAGCCCTCCAAGCCCTTCTCCGTCCGTCCATGCTCTCGTCCATTGTCCTGGAGCCTGGAGCTCTGGGCCTCCTAGAGGAATTCCGAGTAAGTGGGTTCGGAGGATCTCGCCGCATCGCCGATGCATCGACGATGCGGCTCGATGTGGAGCCCGTGTTTCCCCACGCCGACGTCGCCGATGCATCGCCGACGTTTGCGTTGCATCGGCGATGCATTGGCGATGCGGCTCGATCCTTCAACCCCATCCACTCGGACCCCATCCATGAGGCCTCTATCCATTCTCTCGTCCAATCTCCTGGAGCCTGGGGCTTAGGGCAGTGATCCGACGCGGCAAGGGCCTCGTCGGCAGTTCTCAGCCATCTCTTGCACGCGCCTGGGTGCCGCCGACGCCGCGTCCCGTCGGCAGGGGCCTGGCCTCAGCGCGCTCCTGTCACACGTCGTCTTAAGCCGGGCGTGTCCCTCTACAGGAGGAATATTCAAAAACACTAAAACAATTCTCAGGGGACGATGTTATATTTTTTGTTTGCCAATTTTCAAATATGTTGGACTACGTTTTCTGATTCGTCCAAAATCGGCCTATAGGGGGACATGCCCGACCTAAGCCTGGCCCCAGCGAGCTCCTCTCACACGTCGGCGTCTCCCCCTCCCCCCGCTCCTTCGCCTTCCCCCATCCCTCAAGCAGTGGCGATGCGTCCTGGCTTGCCTGTAGGCCTGCCAGAGATGCACGAACTGTTCTTTGGAACATTTCTGGCCGAGATCGTCTTGGTTTAGTACATCGGGTTGTTGCTCTAATAGTTGTTTTCCAACCATCCTGTGGTGTTGGGTCCTCGTTTTGAAGAGAGCGCCCCGCGTCTCCCTCCTTCTCCTCCTCCTCCCGCTGCCCACTCTCTCCCCCTCTCATCATCACCATCACCAGCATCATCATCATCATCATCATCCTCATCATCATCATCATCATCATCGTCATCATCATCATCGTCATCGTCATCGTCATCGTCATCGTCATCGTCATCGTCATCAGCATCATCATCATCAACATCATCATCATCAGCATCATCATCACCATCATCATCATCATCATCATCATCATCATCATCATCATCATCATCATCGTCGTCATCACCATCATCATCATCATCATCAGCATCAGTATCATCATCATCATCATCACCATCACCATCACCATCACCATCACCAGCATCATCATCATCATCGTCATCGTCATCAGCATCATCATCAGCATCATCATCGTCATCAGCATCATCATCAGCATCATCATCATCACTATCATCATCATCATCATTGTCAGCATCATCAGTATCATCATCATCATCAACATCGTCATCATCGTCATCATCCACATCATTATCAGTATCATCGTCATCGTCATTGTCATCATCATCACCACCACCATCACCACCATCACCATCATCGTGGGCACTATCGCCATTATCGGCGCCATCAGCATCGCCATCGTCAGCGTCGTGCCTCTGTTCTCCGCGTGCCCACCAATTCGGCGCACCCTTCACACGTTTCGTGGCCCCATGGGGAGCTCCACCGAATGCCCCAGTGGCAGAGTTCGCATGGCGGCCCCGCCCCATTTCGGCGTCCCCCTCACACGCTTCGCTGCCCCATAGGGAGCTCCACCGAAGGCCCCAGTGGCAGAGTTCGTGTGGCGGTCCCGCCCCATTTCGGCGCACCCTCACACGTTTCGTGGCCCCATAGGGAGCCTCACCGAAGGCCCCAGTGGCAAAGTTCGCATGGCGGTCCCGCCCCATTTCGGCGCCCCCCTCACATGTTTCGTGGCCCCACATGGAGCTCCATCGAAGGCCCCATTGGCAGGGTTCGCATCGCGCCATAACACCCATTTCGGAACACTTTTTACGTGTTGCGTTGCCCCACAGGGAGCTCCACCGAACGCGGGGCTCACAACTGCGGTACGCACAATTGCATATGGATGGGTCCTTCGCCAGGACAATTTTGTTCAGAACACTTGGGGACTCTAGGAACAGTTCGTGGTAGGCCTATAGGAATGCCAGGACGGTCGGTCCCTGCTCAACCCTTCCCCCCCGCCTGGAGCGTTCAGAGCTTGCATGTTCAAGGCCACGGTCTCCACGCCGTGCCCTAGGGGGCACGGGCGAGCTCCCTAGTGGAGCGCGCACGACTCGGGCCTTCGCTTCGCTTCGCGTCGCTGTCCCCCCTGCCTTTTTTTTTAGCACGAGCCGCCCGTCACATCTGAAGCTGGCCCACCCCTAGGCTCAAGTCGGGCATGTCCCTCCACAGGAGTAATCTTCAATAATAGTCAGAGCAGATCGTCTGGGGACGATGTTTCGTGCTCTTCTGGGAGCGCTTGATCATTTTAGGAGGACAGGCCTTCTGAAGTCCGCCTTTCAGAGAACATACCCCCGACAAAACCCTAGGGTTAAGTCGGGCCTGTCCCTCTACAGAAGGAGTACTTTAAAAAACATGTTTTTTCTTAGAAAAAGTGAGGGGACGATGTTTGGACAATGTGTGGCTATTTTGTTGTGTGTATATTTTGGGTATTCTTCATTTTTCGTCCACAATCCGCCTGTAGGGGGACATGCCCCCGACAACACCCTAGGGCTGTCTGCGGTGCTCTGGAGGGACGGCGCCGGTTGTTCAGCGGGCCGCCCCGCCGCTGGCGCTTCCCGCAGGCGGGGCGCCTTATCTGCCCGTGTGCAGAAGGTGGGTTTGGAGGGCGCCTTGCCTACAGTCAACTCGCATGGAAAGGACGGGCAAGCTTCCCAAGGGTATCCTTGCATCTTGGACGTACCAGGGGGTCTGGGACGGTCGCGCACCTTGTGGCAGGTTACCAGCTCAGCCATCCTCACGGCCCCGCACCGCGTCCATCCTCCGGGCTCCTAACCTGCACCATCTTGCTGGCCCCGCACCTCGGCCATTCTTCCGGCCGCCTCGATGTTTCGCCCCGGATCGGCCTTCAAACTGCCTCGCCCGGACTGCCAGGGCCCACATGTTCGCCGCAAAGATGCAGACCCTCCGGGGCTTACAATTTGCATCCTTGTCCCTTAAGCCCATCCTTGGTAACTTTCGCTGGCCAATGGCCAACCTCGTTCGAAAAGCGTCAACGTGACCCTTGCATCCTCACCGCGCATCCACATGTTACGGGTTGAGTGTGGTTGGTTTTCAAATCTACAAGCTGCGAGCCAACATCCAGCGAGCGCTCCACTTCGGCCACGCGCAGAGGGGGGCAGGGGGAGGGGGGACGGCTTCTCAGAAACACCCCTGCTTCTCAGAAGGCGTGGGCCTCTCTCTAGGTGCAGGGCAGGCGCTGTTTGAGTAGCAGCCTCCGAGGAAACGTAGCACCCCACAATTGCGGATAAGAGTGAGGGGCGGGCGCGGGCGACGCGGGCGTCGTCGAGCCGGCGGACCTCGTGGCACCCACCTTCCCTGTCGATGGCGCTCTCCTCCTCCTCCTCCTCCTCCTCGTTCTCGTCCTCGTCCTCATCGTCATGGTCATCCTCCTCCTCCACCTCGTCCTCCTCCTCTTCTTCCTCGTCCTCCCTCTGCCCCCCTCGTCCTTTTCATCATCGTCCTCCCATTGTCGTCCTTCCCCTCATCGGCCTCCATCATCGTCCTCCCATTGTCGTCCATCATCATCACCATCATCATCAGCATCACCATCGTCATCATCATCATCATCATCATCATCATCATCATCATCATCCCCCTCCACCCCCTCCTCGTCCTCCTCCTCCTCCCCCTCCTCCCCCTCCTCCCCCTCCTCGTCCTCCTGATCCTCTTCCTCTTCTTTCCCCACATTATCCTTACATCCTATCTTCTTCCACGTCCTCCTCGTCCCCTGTTTAGTCCTCCTGCCTCCCCCTCCTTTCCCAAGGTAACTGCAGCGCAACCCTTTTTTCCATTTGATGTTCCCCGACTTCTCTGATCAAGGCAACCCGCCAGGGCAAAGTTGCTCGACGGGCTGGTGTGGATGCGCGGGGCTTGAAGAGGTCCTTGCGGGTTCAAACGGCATGCAAACATCCGCCGCCGCGCTTGTGCGGCATTGGCTTGTTCAGTGAACGTGGTTTGGGTCGCGGGTGGGTCGCGGGCTCTCCACCTCCACCTGGACGGAAAGCAAAAGCAGCCCGCCGCAGGCGCCACAAACATTGGTTTGTACACTGAACGTGGTTTGGGTCGCGGGTGGGCCGCGGGTTCTCCACCGGGAACGAATGCAAAAGATGCCCGCCGCAGGCGCCGAAAAATGTGGTTTGTACCCTGAACGTGGTCGCGGGTGGGCCGCGGGCTCCCCACCTGAAACGACTGCATACGATGCCCGCCGCGGGCGCCGAAAAATGTGGTTTGTACCCTGAACGTGGTTTGGGTCGCGGTTTGGTCGCGAGTTGGTCACGGGGTCGCGGGTGGGTCGCGGGTGGGTCGCAGGTGGGTCGCGGGGTGGGCTTCGGGCGGGTCGCGGGGTGGGTGGCGGGGTGGGTCGCGGTGTGGGTTTCGGGGTGGGTCGCGGGTGGGTCGCGGGTG